ACACACACCCACCCACACACACACACACACACACACACACACACACACACACACACACACACACACACACACACACACACACACACACACACACACACACACACACACACACACACACACAAGTGATATTGGCCCAAGGACCACAGGGGGTATTCACATACCATCCTTGTGTTTTGTCTGTTGTGGGACAACTTCTTTTCTCTGTTCTCCTTTATTTCTGTTTTTTTTTTTTTTCCTGGGACCTTTCTTGGTTTCGGCGTGTCATTCTCGTGCACATACCCTGTATACTGGGCCTTTCAACATTTCAGTGGGCGTACCGAAGGGTCGAGCTGCAGTTCTGAATTCGTCTGCGGCAGTTATACCGTTTTTCTCGATTTAGCAGTGCTTACGGAAAGGCCGCACCGCAGTTCCAGATCCTAGGTAAACTTCTCCGTTGGACGCCCAGGGACGCCCAGGGAGTTATACCGTTTTTCTCGATTTAGCAGTGCTTACGGAAAGGCCGCACCGCAGTTCCAAGTGACCGGCCCCAGGTGAGTCAGATTGTTGTATTTTACTAATCTGCTTGCGGCGAAGTTCGAACTCACCTCTGCGTTTCAACAGTTTATGTTACACACTGTGTCACACGGGCCCGGTTAGGCCCGACAGATAGGGGTTCGGAGGCCGGTCCAGGCCCAAGGCCGGACCTTTAGACCGGAGGTGGCACTGTAGGCCCACCGGTTGGCCTTTAGGCCACAATTTCGGACTAGACCAGACGGGCAGGCCCAAACGACATTACCGTTGGGCCTGGCGGCACTCTGGAGGCTGCCGCCCGCCGGTCTGATCTGAATCGTCAATTTTGACGATTCAGATCACGGCTCGGCCTCGCAGCATAGAGTCCGGCCTTCCACACCGGTACTTAGGTACCAGGAGGTCGCCTTCCCAGGCATTCTGGAGCAGCAGCATTTCGGAGGAGCGCTGCGCTATTTCTGTTTAGAGCGCAGCGCTACAGCAGCAGCGTGAGGTTAGCACTAGACTGCAGATTCGGGATAGAGAGCGAGCGAGGTACTTACCTGGTACTTACCTGTGGTGCCATAGCTTCAGCGGACTTCGACTGCAGAAGGCTTCAAGGCGCCACCTTGCATCCTGCAGGTAAGGCTGCAGGTCAGGACAGGGTAGTGAGGACTCTCCTCCTCCCTACCTCGCCATCTCTCCCTCCTCCTCTGCTATCTCCTCTTCCTCTCTTCTTCTTCTTCTTCTTCTTCAGACTCATTCTTCTTCTTCTTCTCCTTCTTCCTCTTCAGACTCATTCTTCTTCTTCTCTTCTTCAGATTGGAGACTTGGCTACGAGTTGGACAGAGATCAGTGTTGGGACTTCGGCGGTAAGAGGCTGTGATACTTACCGGATTCGAGACTTGGAGATTGTTGGGATTGATACTCGGCGGCATCACAGATTGGACACCAGTTACATTAGGACTCTGTACCTCCGACATTGGTGACTTGTTGTCCACGACATTTTGATCTTGTTTGATGACATTTTGGACTACCATATCGGTGACCTACTGGATTCTATCTCGGTGACATCTGGCGCTGCCTACATCTCCCACCTCCGTCTCTCCTCCCACCTTTCATCTGTGCATGTTTGTACGGGGCCTGAGCATCGTCTATGATTGGCTCAGACCTCACCATCTCACGATTGTTTGTATGTTGAGTGATATCTTTACAAGTTCAGTCTATGTGAGTCAGTCCATTTATCAGACTTCCGCTGCATACATGCTCATCCCACACTGGTTGATCTTTGGTTCTGCCCATACTTGTTGAAGTATTCACGAGTATGCAACAGTTTAGGACTGTACTGTCTGTACCAACTGGGCTATGTCACTTGATACTTTTCTCTTTTTCCTTCTTTTCTGAAAAGAGTGTTCAACTTGGCCTTCCCCCCCCCCCCAAAACCACCACTACCTGCAGCACGACTGGCACCGAAAAGGCTCCACGAAATCTGAAGGCCTGTAACACACCAATGCCGCCGGTGGATTTTATCGACGGCGGGCGCAGCCTCCTTACACTTCAGGTAGTAGGCTACTACTTGAAATTCTGAGGCCTGCAGGTAGTGGTGATGGTAGGCAACCTTTCCTGTATGATCGGGCACTCCGGCCAGGTTCATACCGAGATCACCATTTCATTATACAGACCGGAAAAGGGGTCCAAGTCCCTCACATCAGAACAGAGTTTCTGGCCCAAGGGACCGACTACAACCAAAAGCCTACAAAACTCCAACCAAATACTACCCGGAGCCATGCCATTTGTTTGTACCGACTAAGCTTCGTCGCTCAGTTCGTTTTTTTTCTTTTTTTCAGGCAGTTCAAAATTGAAGTGTTTTGCTCGTCTGCTTGGTGTGGAGTTCGAACTCAGGTCACCATTTTCACAGTTCAGGACTGTACTGTGTGTACCGACTAAGCTACTTCGCTCGCATTTTAACAGTTCAGGACGGGCCCCAGGAAATTCGAAATTATTTTATTCTGTTTTTGTGGTCATCTGGATTCAAACTCAGGTCTGCATTTCATTGGTTTGGGGGTTGTACCAACCGCTCAGGTCTGCATTTCATTAGTTTGGGGGTTGTACCAACCGAGCTAGGCCCGTTGGTCGGTACCATTTTCTTCTTGCCCGCTCGCTTGCTTTTCGAAACTCGCACAGGAGATCCGGACTTCTTGGTCCCTTGTCCTCGCGAACTTCGTTCCAAAGAGCGAGCCACCAGACACATGTTTCTCTGTTCGTGCGGCAGTTGGGAGCTGTGTGCTTTTCGCGATGCATGTTTCTTCTTTCCAGAAAGCCAGCCGCTTTGTTTCCGGACGCGTGTTTCTCAGTTCGCACGGCAGTCTGTGGAGCTGTCTGCGCACGAAGAGAGCGTGGAGAACGTTGGGTGGGAAGAGAAGGTCGAGTAGGTTGGGTGGGAAGAGAGGCCAATTCGACAGGTGGCATGTTGAAAAGCATTGAGTTTGAGAGGGGGCAAGTGCAACAAAATCAGGAACAAGTGTGTATGCGTGTGTATGTGTGTTTTGAGAGAGAGAGAGAGAGAGAGAGAGAGAGAGAGAGAGAGAGAGAGAGAGAGAGAGAGAGAGAGAGAGAGAGAGAGAGAGAG